TATCTTCAACGCTTATTTTAGAATTCAATGCTACTCCGACACACTTTGTGAAAAGCAAATCACAAAAGCTTATTTAATTTGATAGAAAAAAATTAACCATTTTTACACATACTTCTCTAGACATATACTAATGCACCAGTATATATTAAATAATTATGTAACTAACTAGCTTTTAGCTGGCGCTAGTGAATGATGTTTATTGTTATTGTATCTTTTTTTTGAAATGCAATTACAATATTTTTTTGGGGATAAAGAAACCTCCCAAGAGTTATTTGGATAAAGAAATTTCCAAATAAAAAAAAATTGAAAATATAAATTTTAAAGTAAATCCCTTAATATAAGAGGATTAAATGTGATTATCTCGTCAGGATATATATAACTTGAAAATATACTTTTAGTTTTTATCTTCGTAGAATTTCTAAAGAATAAGAGATTCACCGCATGAGAATATAAATTAAGTTTCATGATTGTCTACTATTTTGAGAATAAGAACACTCTCTAATTATTGGGTTTATCCATTTTTTATTTTACTCTTTCACGAGTTTTAAAAATATGAACATTACTAATTCTAATTAGACTTTTATTCAAGTCTTACAGTTTGGTATAAATTATATTCGTTTGAGATTTTTAATTAATTTAACATCTCATTGTTCCATCTGAAATTATATTTGAGATGTTTATGCATTCGAATTCATTACATGCATATCTTTGAATTTTAATTATAAAAGAATGGATACAAAGGAATATATCCACAAAATAATAGAATGATATGTACCACAATCAACTTGGGGTCATAGCACTCTAAGGTATATGAGTGACATTTGTAAATTATTGAAATCTATGACAAATAGGTGATTTGATTTAACACATTGTGGTGATGTACAATAAATTAAGGAATATATTTATCGAAGTAATCCTTAAAATCAGTTATGATTGAAACAAAACAATTGTACCCATGTCCTGACATAGAATGGAGTCATGTCATGAGTTTGAATCTGGTGACCAGTCTCTTGTTAAAGTAACAAGAATGACCTTATATACCTTTGTGGGGCTTCCCCGAACCCTCACAATGTGAGGACGCCAATGTCCACCAAGGTACCCTCAATGTTTTTTTACATAGAAACGCACTATAAAAATGAGAGAAAATATTAGATTGCATCTAATAAATGCAAAAGAAAATGCATATTTAAGCAGGTTATGAGTCAGAGTGGTCACTGACTCATACAAACTTTGAAATAATTCATTTAGGTTATTAATTATTCGAATAAAGGATGATATGAGATCCAACACAATGTAAATTGTTGGTTTAGCATTGATATATAGAAAAACAATATCAATCTTCTAAAGTACGAGAAGAAATATTTACCTTTCATTATGCCTTACAGATATAGTAGAAGACACGTCAGTTATTTCTTAAAATTTACTCCTTAGCAAAAATAGAATCGAGGCATGTCCACATATGCTAAGGAAATAACAATAAAGATATCTCATTTTTTCAATACAAAGTGATATGTGACGACTCATCTACCAAAATGAGGGCCATTTAAGTGATTATGGTTTGGTAGAAATTTACTCATGCTGTCTATTTTCCTGTTGCATAAAATGTTGCATTTAGAAAACTTCTAGCAAGACTTGTTTATTTAAGGCCCACCACCCGACCAATCAAATATATATGACTTGTTACGGCTAGACAGTTCTCATCAAAAATACTTGATGATTATTGCATATATGTCGAGATCAATGAAAAGATCTCGCATCCCATGTGCAAAATAAGATCTCAATGAAACTCACATTTAAAAGAATATAGATGATGAATATTATATCTACTATGCACATGTGTATATATAATTATTTTCATGGGATTATGCAATATTGCAAGCACTCCTGCACATTTGTTTTTAAACCGATACTAGACAACCACGTTTATGTATACCAGTTGGTGACAGGATATTAGCCTGAGATGTTCTACTTATGAATATGTGGTTGTTAAATAGTTGTGCCTATTGCGTCTACCACAACGCATTATAATCGGTTTTAAAAGAAAAATGATGTTTATGTTGGATATGAATCCCCAACAATAATCCGCTACTAGCCTTAACAAATAATGTGTACACCGCTTTGCGGGATATGACTTTAATGAGACAATTGATTTTCCTATCATTAGGGAGAGATTAGAGAAAGAACTCTCTAATTGAATGATAAAATCATTATGATGGTATATCACTACTTTGTCTCAATGATAAATCTTAGACTTCAAAATGTAACATTGAAGTTAAAGTGGTATCATAAATGATTTAAGTAATCAGATTATACACACTACCTGCAAACATATTTGTAAGTTTGAATTTAAATTAAAAGAAACAATGCTAAAGGAAGAAGCATTGCAATCACAAACAGTGGGGTTGTGGTTGAGGCCGTGGCTCTATAAAGGAATAGAGGGAAGCCACATGGTTCGATTAATTATCCACCCCAAGTAGTAGAGGGTAGATAAGGCACAAACCAATATACTCGTCATCATATGAATTCCTCTCATGAGATTATCTCTGATTAAACATGTCCATGAATTTATAATGGGGGACGCCCCGAAGTTTAAATGATTTCAGAGAATTAAAATCTCAATGTTAATGAGAGTGTGTATGAGTCGAATGATAGACCTTACACTTATACTGACGATATATTTATACAGTTGCTCAAAGGAGCATAGAGCACGATGATATCGAATCATACTCTATTGCAATATGAAAGCAATGAGAATATTGGCCTAAATGCGTACAAGTAATCCAGGTATAAATTTAATATTTGACAAAGAGACAGGTATTTGGTATGATAGTGCTAATCAACCAAGTGTAAAGCCTGTAGGACATGAAATATTTCTTTGTTAGAAAGAGTACTGAGATAATGAGGTCCTAATTATTCTAACAACGCCCTGGATTCAAATATGAAAAGTTATACCTCTCTATTTTGACCACAAAAATGTTCAACTTCTTAATCTATAAGTAGACTCCAAAGTAATGGAGACACAACTAAATATTATGGACATTAAATGTCCTAATAGAATTTCATTAAATAGATGTATATGAAGTATTTGTTATGTTTTTATTATCTTTAATCAAGTGGTTTTAAATTACATTGTATATTTACATTGAAACGTTCACATTTGGATTAAATTAATCTAGACGAGAGTGACATACCCGTCTCAGTGACCACTTGACTGAAAAAGGATAGAAAAAGATAGATTATGTTTTCCCTCCAAGTACCATTATATGTCAAAGATATAGACATGGTATGTACTCATATTAAAGAAAATGAGAAATCTTAGATACTTGGAAGTCATAATTGAGATAAAGGATCTTGAGAAACTCAGGTTATTTTGAAAACACCAAGTTGGTTGAATAATAATTCACCAGTTGCATATATCCAAAAGGGTTCTCAGGCAAATTAACATGGATAAATGTAAAGTGTTAGCACTCCCATGATCGGTCGAAATATGGATGCTAGAAAATATATCCATTATTGGAAAATTATTGGGAGAAGGAATTTCCTATGAAAATGCAATATGCGCATGATTGTACTTTGACAAACACATTCGACCAAATATTACATTCTCAATAACGTGTTAGCTAAAAATAGCTCAGGACCAACACAACGTATATCGTCATTGGAATAATATCAAGAATGTACTTTGATATCTATGTCAAACCATTGGTGTAATATTTAGTCATCCCTTTTATAAATTAATTAAATGATTGATGATAATAATATTTCTAAAGGAATCGGAAATGTCAAAAGTATCACTCTAACACAAAGTAACGTGATTTGAGTTTTACCGATGATGGATATCCTCTTACCTCATTGATACTTTCTTAAATGAGTATATATCTACCATGAAAGAAACCAAGATGTTATATACGGAATACCTTGATAAAACTATATATCAAGTACATATCGAATTCTTATTGATGTGTTGCATTCAGGGGGAGTTCTTACATACTTATTTATCATCAGTTATATTGGTGCGTTCTACTCTTTTTCTTTTCTCCCTTTTGCCAAGGTTTATTTTTTCCCATTGGGTTTTGTTACTTGGTAAAGTTTTTTTATGAGACAACACAATATGCACCATCCAACATTTTAATTTTGCGAAAGTAAACAATGTTGAAGAAAGAGCATAATTACTATATCGCAGTCAAAAGTAATTGACGTGTAGGTTTTAATGCACCATACTCCCTTTTCACTTTGACCGATGTTTATTTTTCCCATTGGGTTTTGTTCATTGGCAACGTTTTTGCAAGTTAATTTGGGAAAATTCCCTACGCTTGACACACAGGGGAAGAATTAAAGGAATTATATTCATATGTTGTGTGCATTCGCTAAGGTAATTGATGTGACAAGTATTGAAATGCACATATTTTACTAACACCCTTGATCAATGTAAATATTAAGGGTAGATGTAGACTTGAGGGGGAGTACCCTGACTAGATTACATTACACTCTTTTCCTTTAACCAAGTTTTATTTTTTTCCATCGGGTTTTGTTACTTGGTAAGGTTTTTAATGAGGTAACGATACATATAAACTTTAATGATCAAAGCAAAGATCAAATAAAGATAGACTTAATGAAAAAAGCCTATCTTGATGTTATACTCCTTTTTCTCCAGTCAAGATTATTTTTTCCCACAGGGTTTTTGTTACTTGACAGAGTTTTGACGAGGCAATAAGACTGATACCAAATTCTATCTACAACTCAGCACAATGGGGAGTGTTGAAGGAAATTCTGTGTAGTGTGCTATCGTGTATATATAATATGTATTATATGGGTCCATTGGCCCATCTATGTAAACCCTAATATCTCCCTATTTATAGGGCCTTTGATAATGAAACTACACACCCAATTCGTATTAGGGATCTAAATTTAACTTGGTTGACCGAAAAATTGAAGTACCCGAAGTGTGAGCTGTTAAGGGAGGGAATATCTATTGGGCAATGAACTTTTGGGCCTAATTACGTTCTACTCGTATATGACTACTTGTCCTACATCTTGACTCGGACTGAGTCCAACTCTAACTTTCTGCTGTGAAAGAGTCGCAATTTCAAAAGCTTTTCCCATCGGCTCTAACTTCCGGTTCCACATTTCATCGTTTTTCCGATTACATCCAGGTATTTTTATGCTTCATGTTCAGTCTTGGCAGTTTCAACTTCCAACCTAATCATATACTCTCAAGAAAAAGTCATGTTTTTTTTTCAATTACTTGATGTTTATCATTGACGATTTTATAGACGTTCAAAATTCCAAATCTGTGACAGAGATCTTCTATTAGCCCTACATTATGCATGAAAACACCATTATGCAAATCAACTACGTAGTACTTCGTATTATTTTATGTAAATGCCTAAAATGCGTTTTTTTTTTTTCGTTTTTGTGTATTTTCAGTTAGGACAGACTGATTAATAATTTCTTTTGGGAGGATCACTTGAGATTACTAGGGCAAATTTGAGATTTCGCATTTTCCCCCTTTCCCCTCACTACATCTGAACATTTAGAAGCCTATTATTTGCCGGGTTTATTCCACTTCAATACCTCGTAAGCAGTTACACTTGCAATGTCACCAATTCTTTTTTTGTTTTGTTTTGTTTTGTTTTGTTTTGTTTTGTTTTTATTTCTGTTCTTTTGTTTTCATCATCAGGGACAGAGCTAGGATTCTATTGGAGGGGGGGGGGGGGGGGGGGGGGGGCAAAATGTACTATGTATAACAAACTATCAAATGTATCATATAAATACAGAAATGCATTGTATTAAATTTTTTTGTGTAGTTGAATATATTCTTCAAAATTTTCTAGGACAATTAATCAACTCAAAACATCATAATGACATGTTCAATTTTTCAAAATCTTTCTTTTTCGACATGTTTGGATAATGATTAGGAAAGGAAAAAATGTTAGGAAGTGATTTTTTTGTTTAGTTTTGCATCGAAAAATTTAAAGGAAATTAAATATAAATAATACTCCGTATTTTGTATTATATTTGTATACTTGGATATAGTACTCTGTAATTATACTAATAGACATATAAGATGAAATATATCCTACATCAAATTTTATTTACTATATTCAATCCAATTTGTTTCACCCACATATTCATAGTTCCACACTATTTTCTCCTGATATATTCCAAGTATAAAACAAAGTTTATAAGATGAATAATTCTATCTACTTAATAAAAAGGAAATAAAGTAATAAATTTAAACTTTTACTCCGTATATATTATAGATAAGTAATACGTTGTATGTATTTCATCACTTTAATGTAATAGAATAGTATAATAAGTTGGGGACTTATTCCAAAGTACCAGAAAAGTAAAATTAACTAAAGAAATTAAAATTTCAAAGCACAAAAAAGGGGGAACACTATTACTAAAATTATTTAAAAAATGGGAAAGTTGAGGGGGGGAGGGGGGTCAAGCCCCCCCGAACACTATGCATACCTCTGTCCCTGTTCATCATGATGTATACAATCATAAGTTGAATTCTTTTTTACTGTTACAATCATGGTTTCAAGATATCACGTATTTTATTTTATTCTTTCGTTCGATTTTTGTTCTATTAAACCAATTTATGCACTTTTTTATTATTCTAGTTCTAATTCTAACTATGCACTTTTGATATACTAATTTTAAATACTGTATTAAATGTATTTCATAAATATGCCCATGTTTTTAATCATTCTAATTTTGCACTTTTGACATTAATTCTTGCATTATGATATTGTTCAATTTACATTATTGCTAGTGCATCTATTACATGCCATGAATTTGCATTTACCATTTTCCCCTTATATCGTTCTAATTGTGCATTCTTTACATATGAAGAATGATGCACTTCTAAGTTCTAACTAATATATTATATTTGCCTACTATATTAAATAATTTCATATATAAGTCCATGATACTTTAAATTCTCTAATTTGGGTGTGGAATAAGAAAAGTAAAAACTGTACGGTTAAGATTTGTGCAGGGGAGAGAGAAATAAGGTGAACCACAAATTCATTACTTTAAAAGAAAAGTGACAAAGTTTTTGGAATAAACAAAAAAGAAGAGTTGAATGTGGTCAAGACATCCAACAATATTTATGATTCATTATGTGACTATTTGTACCGGTTTTAGAATTTAAACTACTTATAAAGGCATAGAGTAACTTTTCCAAGATTTCTCTATAGAAGTGCATAATGTATATAAACTACACAATGCATCTAAGTAAAGTACTAAAGTGTATCTATTCACACGCTAAAGTGCATTCTTGAAAATGATTCTCTTGTACCACATAGTGTGTATAAGATTCATTATGCTTCTTAAATAATTGCATGACTTGATATATCATTTTCCGTTTTTCTTTTCTATGTCATAATTCCATTTCCCAAAGTTAAGATGGTTCATCTTAGAAAATACAAAATTTGAAAAAGAAAATATCATGTGAATGGCGCACACACTCTATTAGTTTTACATAATGCATTTTAATTATAATATGATACATAATAACCTTGTCAATAATGCATATATTTGATCTGTTATGATATGCTAGATGTCTGTTAATCTGTTTTATGTTTATTGTAATATTGTCTAATTTTGATTTGTTAAGTTTTGGTCTGGTCTATTTAAGTATGATCTGGTTTGGTCTGATTTGGTCTTTAACTGAACTTCGTCCAATAAAAAATACCCTTAGTCAACAGAATATAGAATTCTAGACATGATTAAGTTTGCCCCTTCCATAATTTGAAGCACTCCTAATTAAAATGGAAATTCTTAAAAGTAACTTTGTGTGCTTAGGAATGCATATGCACATACGATTTACGTCTATGAAGCACAAAACTCCCTGATGCTAATTTTCTCCCGTTATGGAAACTCAAGAATGTAATAGAAGTTCAGAAACTTCAAATTCCCGATGCAGGGCCGTTTCCGTAACCAATAAGATTTGGGGAACCCGTTTCCATAAATAATTAGCATTTGCAAAACTTTGGGAAAGTTCATATCCTATATTTCTTAGTAACTCTTTTCTCGCGCTTCACGTTTCCATGCTACTTAGGTTTACGTAAAACCCCCTATTAGGCAATTATACTAATTAACCATTTAACCCTAATCTATTTGGTCCAAGTATATAATTTCCTTGATTCTCGGGAATTTGGTTGATAGTACCATTAAATGTCAGCTATTAGATCAAGGATTTCAACGACTCATCATTTTTCTCATTTCCCTCCTTGGGCTTTATTCTCAACGGAACCAGACTTTATTTATATGTTCCTTTAGTTTTCCTAAACTATACTTGCGATAAATGATGATTTTTTGGCCATATATGAGAATTTTCTCTAAACTTCTCAAATCCTTTTATGGATCTTTAAAAGAGAGCATATTAATTATCCTTTATCACGTGCCAATAGACACACAACACATTAGAAAAACTCTTTCATTTTGAATATTATTATTTATTATGCTAATTATTATCTATTGCTTTAAAAGTTTTTTGTCATTTTCTAATTGCTCAGGTAAAAAAAGTTATGCACAAATGCTGGATTGCTGGTGTGAATAAAGAAGTGAACATTTCTAGTTCCATTTATACAGCGAGAGCACAAGCTGTTTTCACTTCATTCTTTGGGTGTTGAGTTTCAAAAATCTTATTAGGAACTGCAAAATAGCCATGGTTATTTCTGTATTATTTAGTCTCTTGCAATACTATGCAGTATGAGAACTTCTACATTTGACTTTTACATTTAATTGGAAACAACAAAAGAAGTTAAAGAAAATAAAACATGACAGATATTCCAAATTGTAATGATCGGGCCCTCAATCCAAGGCTCCAAGCCCCTGACAGGTCCTTCGGCCCTATAAGAGTCTACCTTTGCTACATTTTTGTTTACAAGATAACCTACTTTATCTTATGTTATTTATCTTCAATCAGTTTTGGTGTGAATGTTGGCGAAGCTAACTGCATTACTCCCTTTGTGCCTCAATTAGGTTCTCCACTTCTCCTTGTCTTTTGGTGCGCTTATTAAACAAGTGACACTTTTAGATTTATTTACATGGGGGGATAATATGAATCACACATTTTTTCCTTAAAAGGAAATGAGAAGCTAATTTGGGGACGTTGAGTATTATATATATAAAGCTAATTTGAACTAATTAGAACTCATCTGTTGCACTTTTTGAACTTTGGTCGAACCATTGTAGTATAACAGTACATTAAAAAATGCAGTGGATTTTGGTAAATAAATCAAAGTTTTCTGATAATGCGAAAAAGTGCGGCATAGAAATCTTATAGTGCAACAAATTGAGGAAAAAGTGCTAGCGCTCGCAGTTTTCATGGGAAGAATGGTTTTTATGTGATTTGGAACCTATATATATACATCATATATAATACAGTTTTCATGTATATAGTTTATGCTATATGATTTAAAACTTCTGCCTTAGCTATTTTGTTGGTTGTTACTATTTCAATACAGCGTATCCATCTACTGAAATTTTAAATCACAAACTTCTTTTCTCCAATGGTCGGATTCTTGAAAAATCATTTAGATGAATGCCTGAGTGGCACCTGGATCCTGAGGTCTGATGCATTGCTTAGAGTGAAAAAGAAGACCTTTAATTGTAAACCAGTTGTTCTTTTCACATGTTACAGAGGGCTTGAGGGTTATTGCAGATTCAACAACCTTAAGTTCTTCTTCTTTTACAGATAACAGCAGCACAGAGAATTTAAGTACAAGCAAACCAGAAGTACAAAATTTGAGCATGGAACCCCTGCAAATGAAGAGGAAGAAGATCAGTGGTTACAACTTGCGGAAAAGTTTGGCATGGAATAAAGCATTTTTTACTGAAGAAGGTTGTTGTACATTGTATTATTAAGTTACCATTTGATTTTTTATAGCCACTTTTTTTACCAAACTTTAAGTTTTTAAAAGAAGAAAATAGACGGAATAGATTTTCTTCTCATTTACTGAACTTAAATAGGTACATAGTGAATCATGGAAATCCTGGGAATTAATTGATTCCCTAGAATAAAAGGGTCTACAATATCAAAAAGATAATCTACCTTAAATACAATTCTAATCAAGACAAGAGATAATTCTACAATTAATTACAATTACTATGCGCCTAAAATAGATGATTCTGTCCAATAACCTAAAATAGATTATTTTGTCCAACACTCCCCCTCAAGCTGGAGCAAAAATGTCAATCATGCCCAGCTTGACCAGAAAATCTTCAAATGTTAGCTCCGTCCTCGTACCTTCCTAACTTATGGTTAGGGTCAATAGGAGTGGAAGCAGGTTTACATCCAAGAAGAACTGTTTCCTTGAGCAAATCGAGCACATACTTTCGCTGAGACAGAGCAATTCCCTTCTTTGATCTAGCTACTTCCATCCCGAGAAAGAACTTGAGGTTTCCCAAATCTTTAATTTCAAATTGCCTATCTAGAAATAGCTTCAGTATCTCCAGTCCTTCTTCATCATCTCCTGTCATTATAATATCATCTACATACACAATTAAGATAGCAATTTTCCCTTCGACCGTGTGTTTGTAGAACAATGTATGATCAGCGTGAGCTTGACGAAATCCTTTTTCCTTTACAGCCCTTGTAAACCTTACGAACCAAGCGTGAGGTGACTGTTTCAAGCCGTATAAAGATTTCTTCAGTCGACATACCTTTCCTGCCACACTTTCATCATCAAACCCCGGAGGTACTTGCATAAAAACTTCTTCTTCTAACTCTCCATTAAGGAAGGCATTCTTCACATCAAACTGTAGAAGAGGCCAGTTGAGGTTAGCAGCAAGTGACAACAAGACTCTTACTGTGTTGAGTTTAGCAACCGGGGCAAATGTCTCCTCATAGCCTAGACCGTAGGTTTGAGTGAATCCTCTAGCTATGAGTCTAGCTTTGTACCTCTCTATTGATCCATCCGAATTATACTTGATCGTGAACACCCATTTGCTGCCTACAAGATGCTTTCCTTTTGGCAGATTTGTTAACTCCTACGTTTCATTTTTTTTCAAAGCTCACATTTCTTCTAGGACAGCTTCTCTCCACTTTGGAATGCTTAGTGCTTCTTGTATCGTCCTCGGAATTTCATCATCGGTTATGCTAGTGGTAAAGGCCCTAAAGCTAGGAGATAATTGGTGATATGACACATAACGCTTTATAGGATGTTTGGTGCACTCACAAACTCCTTTCCTAAGTGCTATAGGTTCATTAAGGCTCGGATCAGGAGGTGAATTATGGTCACGGGAATCAGTCTCAGTCTCAAGAATAGGATCAAGGAAATGTGGAATAGAAGTTGTGGGAATGATGTTACCTGGAACAACACTTTGGTCAGACGGTAGGTCGGCTTGAGTTGGTTCTGAATCAGTACCTTGCGTCTTTTTTCTTCTCGAGTAAACACGGAGTTCAGATGAGGGATCCACATTATTATTATTTCAGATCCTTTGTGAGGTGTAGAAATAATAGGTATGACAGGTTCAACATCAGCTACCCTACTTTGATTATCATAATTTGTAAGAGGAATCGGTAACACAATATCATCCCAAAATTCTTCTCCTATTTCTTTCTCCCCCAGAAGAGAAGTTTGATAAAAAAATGGTTTATTTTCAAAAAATGTGACATCCATATTAACTAATATCTTTCCAGAGCTTGGGTCATAACATTTATATCCTTTTTAGTTGGTGAAACACCTAAAAAAATACACTTTATTTCTGTTAAGATCATGAATGTGGACAAAACTAGTGCAGCCAAATACTTTAGGTGATAAACCAGTGAAAGTCCTGTTAAGAGGATATGATAATTGTAAAGTTTTCAAAGGGGTTTGATAGTTTAGCACATCGTTGGGCATCCTTTTAATTAGGTATGCAACATGAAGTATAACTTCTCCCCAAAAACGTTTTGGAACATTCATAGAAAACATAAGAGCTCGGGCAACCTTTAGTAGATGTCTATTTTTTCTCTCGGCAATTCCATTTTGTTGAGGTGTAATAACACAAGAACTATGATGGAGAATGCCTTGGGCTGCGAGAAACGAACCAAGAGTGCAATTAAAAATCTCTCTACCATTATCTGTTCTAAGGACTTGTATTTGAGCTCCAAATTGTGTTTTAATCAGAGTTAAAACTTTTGAATGTTTCTGCAGTCTCTGATTTTTCTTTAAGAAGATAAATCCAAGTGTTTCTAGTGTGATCATCAATAAAGGTTATGAACCATCTAGTGCAAGAATGATTTTTAATCCTAGATGGTCCCCATATGTCACTATGAATAAGAGAGAGAGGTTTAGATGACATGTAAGGCAAAGAAGGATAAACAGAACGTTTATGTTTAGCAATTTGACAAATCTCACATTGAAATGAATTAGCATCCTTATTTTAAAATAAAATAGGAAACACATGGCGTAAATAACCAAAGCTAGGATGGCCTAGTCGATAGTGCCATAACATTATTTCATTCTCTAAGGATAACAAACTAGAAGAACATGGTTTCTGAACTTGTTTACTCGAGAGGCTGTCTGTAGCAAGATAGTAGAGTCCACCACTTTCTCTTGCACTACCAATCGTCTTCCCAGAGCATTCGTCCTGAAACAAACAACCATTTGACACAAATTTTACAACACAATCAGAATCGTGAGCAAGTTTACTGACTGACACAAGGTTGCATAATAAGTTGGGCACATGTAGGACATTGTTTAAGGTAATAAACGGAGATATAATGATAGAACCTTTTCCAGCAATTGCGGATAGGGAACCATCTGCGATTTTTACCTTTTGATTACCCGAACAAGGAAAGTAATCAGAAAACATGTAGGAAGACCCGGTCATGTGATCAGTAGCCCCTGAATCAATGATCCAAGGGTTGGTTTTCCAAACTTACACTAAGAGCAGTTGCTAAGATACCTTTTTGCGCCAGAGATGATGAAGGATTGGCTGAGATATTTGAGGTTGGGGTATTTGAGACTAATGTATATGGAGTATTGATGTTGGTATTAGCAGACCGATGAGTATTCCAGGACTGAAACAATTGTTCTAGGCTATCCTTGGTGAAGGAGAAGGTGTCGCTCGATGTGTTTGCTTGATCTCCAGATGCAGCGAGGAAGCCTCCTTTGTTATAGCGTGAGACTCGGCTGGAAGGAGTGAAATCAGCTGGCTTGCCATGAATCTTCCAGCACTTTGCCTTGATGTGCCCGATTTTGTGACAAAAATCACACAAAGGATGCGGGGACTTGAAAAGGATGCGGGGACTTGAAATGGATGTTCTTGATTCTTATTAGACTGCTGCAAAGGATGCGGGGACTTGAAATTTGGTTTTGAGATCATCAGTGCAAATGTTTCAATGGGTAAAGAGGTGGATTCATCTCTGAGCATCACATGTCGACGACTCTCTTCACGACGAACTTCAGCAAACACCTCTTGTGCACTTGGCAGTGGGTCTCGGCCAAGAAGTCTCCCTCGAACTTCATCAAGTTCTTTGTTCAGGCCAGCAAGGAAGTCGAAAACTCTTTCCTTTTTAACAATTTTCCGATAGAGGGCAGCATCCTTCGGGCAGTGCCATTTATAATCACAAAACAGATCATACTCTAGCCAAAGAGTCTTGATATCAGTGTAGTACTGAGTTACACTCTTCTCCCCCTGTTTCGCCTTTCCCAATTGTGTCTTGATCTCAAATAATTGCCCAGCATTCCCCAAATCTGAGTAGGTTTCCTTTAGGGCATCCTAGATGGCATTCGCGGATGGCAGAAACAAATAGGTTCGGCCAATTTCTGGTTCCATTGAGTTCACCAACCATGACATAATCATGGAATTCTCGGCCTCCCATCATTGGTATCCATCATCTTTGGGGTCTGGCTGAACTGTTGTTCCCGAGAGGTAGCCAAATTTGCCTTTTCCTTGGATCAAAAGCTTGACTGACTGTGATACATTTAGTTTGATGGAGGTAATCACGAGATTCTGCATAGAATCAAAAGCGATACAAGGTTTGGTTCGGGCGGAGTCATCAGTTGAGCTAGTGCTGATATCGCTCGAGTTCAGGCCTGCCATGGAAGTTGGTGATGCGGCTCTGATACCATAAAAGAAGAAAATAGGCGGAATAGATTTTCTTCTGAACTTAAATAGGTACAGAGTGAATCCTGGAAATCCTGGGAATTAATTGATTCCCTAGCATACAAGGATCTACAATATCAAAAAGATAATCTACCTTAAATACAATTCTAATCAAGACAAGAGATAATTCTACAATTAATTACAATTACTATGCGCCTAAAATAGATGATTCTGTCCAATAACCTAAAATAGATTATTCTGTCCAACAGCTTTTATTTGTTCATGCTGAATTGGTTAATACTGAAATAGGACGGGCCTCTTAGGCTGAAGTAATTTGGTTGAAGTTGTTGAAGATAAACATTTTGACCTTTTCTCTTAGTGAATAAAACACATTTTAAATATAATTGTTTATTATTAAGCACAATCCAGCCAATTCAGACATTTCAGCAACAACTTCAGTAAAAAAAGAAACTTGAAAGCTTTGATCTTTAATATTAAGTTGGTTAATTATGGTCCTCAGTAAGTTTGAAGCATTTAACAACTTCAGTATTTTCAATAAATTCAGCTACCCAATTTAAGCCTTACCGAATTGACTCTAACTCTCTAAGTCAGTCATTGCAGTATTGCAGCACCAATCTCCTTGTATAAGTTATGATACTGATTGATTGTTAATTGTTTGTTTGTTGGTTAACTAAGGCGTACTGGATCCAACAGAACTATCTTTGATCAGTGGAACATTTGCTAATACGAGTGGAGGGGGCTTGTGTTCCATTGAGGAAAGGAGAACCCCACAAACTAGCAACTCCCGTAAAAATGTCAGTTCTTCGATAAAATCTGTTAAAAAGAATTTGAGCAGAGATTTTAATGCTACATCTTCAAAAGAAGAGAGATTGAAGGTATGTTTTTGGTTAACATTCCTCAGCCTGGGAAGAATGCTTCAAACTTCTATTATTAATGCTGAGCTAACAATATGAAGTTTTAGGTATACATTTTTTTTTCTTCCATCAGATATGAGTTATCTTACTATTATCTTTTTTTTTCTTCACTGGAACACATGTGCTTGCAGTCTTCATGCAAGGCAATAACAAGTCAGAATGGCAGACCATTGTTTTCAACTTCATATCCTTACTAACATATATGTGTATATATATTATTCATATGCACACACACACAAATATGTGTATACACACATATATGCCCCTCAAATTGATTTATTTGATCTCATCTAAGTTTGAAACTTTGTGGAACCTTAATATTTCTTTTTCACATTAAAAAGGCCTGCAAATTTAAATGTTAGTAAAGCAGCAGCCAAGGAATCCAAACTACCAAAGTTCCAAATTCCAAGCGCAGGTTCATGTCCGAGAAATGCATCTTCTAATAGTACAATTCCCAGAACAAGTTCTATGCAGAACAAAAAGATTTCTGATCGAGGTATTTGGTAGTAAATTTTTTTATATCTGCACCACATGAGCGCTTTTAGTTTTTATATGAATAAAAATGTACTGGAAACTTGTTCACTCTTGCATTTACATTTTTGCTGGTATCTTTAGTCAGTATATTGAGAAAATATGGGATAAGGAGCTCCTTAAGAAATTCAAGACATGGACAAAACTCACAAAAGAAAGCAAATGATGATTGCAGACTTCCGCCAGGCTTACCTCTAGCCTCTCCTTTGAAAAGAGATGCTGTAAAAACTAAAGTTAGTCGCAAGCTCATCTCCAAATTTACAACCTACCTTGCATTTCTGTATAATTCGTTTCCTTACCATGGCATTCCTAATATTTCCCAATGATTTACACAGGATGCATCTAAAAAGACTTCATCCTTATTGCCCATCAGTAGTCGTGCTAATAACTGTTCGAATGTGCCGGGTTCTGTGGTTGCACATAGCAGTGTATGTTCATCCAAGACACAGGATGCATTTGGACAACCTGCTGTTTTCTCTCATCTACAGAACACCTTTATGTTGGTCAGGAACTTGCAAGAAACTCAAACCCAACAAACAAAACCATCATGCTTGCGAATGCCATCACCATCAATAGGATATTTTTGCCAGGTTTGACTGCTACTTTCTGATATATGCTTTCTTGGGTGAGTTCAGAACAAGGGAAAACCATTTTTCTTTTTTCTTTATTAAGACTAGGGTTTAAACTTGTAAAATAATTCTTTTCTATAATTACTTTTTAGCTCCTGAAAAAATTGTTACTCTCCGTCCCATTTCAAGGATCTGTGTGCGGTTTACGATAGTTGACCGGTGATAAAGTTAACACTTCCCTAATAATAGTATATACTCCGTATTTGTATATATATATTTTCCCCTAATAACATTATATATGCATTGTTAAAAGTTAAAACTTATATTTTCAGGAACTACACTAGAAGATTTATTGAACCAAAAGTCGAATTTTAAAATGATTAGAATGTACTATGTATTATATAAAGTTACAGGTTAATAGAGAGTTAAGTTGACTGAGTGAATAGTTAATGAGAACGTTAAACTAGGACTTAGGGAGTATGACTTATGAGCGGTTGGGAATTGGGATATGGCAGTCTCGTAAACGTTAAAAACTTGATGTTGTTATAGCCTTATGGTTATGCCTGGAACTATATACTCTTATTGATGAGGTTAAAGTGTAAAACCCTCTTCTTATACTATTTAAAATTCATTGTGATCAAACAAATAGAGTCATATATTACAATATCCTATAAGGAATATGCACTAAAAAGAATACCAATTCAAGTAAGAAATTATTTCTAATGATAATGATAGAAAACTAATACTGGTACTAAAACATATTATTAGGCTTTGTCTATTATTTTGTGCAAAACCAGCACTAGGGAGGAATTCAAACCATTTGATGGTCTGACTCTGACCTTTCTTTCCCTCTAAATGTTTAAATGCAGTCAAAACCTTCTGATGAGGTACTCCAGCTTTCACAGAAAAATGCAGAGTCTAATGTAGAAAAGCGCCAAGAAACTGGTGGCCTGAGGCCCCTGTGTGCATTAGGAGATCAAGTAATCAATGGCATCCAAACAACAATGAAACCCAAGCTTGTAAGTGATAAAACTGGAGAGAATCATGGCAGTAGTGTTTATGGAAAGGATAAAGATACAGAATCATGTATAGATGCTGAGGAACTTGTAGGTACAGGAAATTGTGGACATATTTTTGAAGAAGATCCAAAGGTTATTGGTTCTCTTGAAATTAGAGACTGTTGTATGCCAGGTTCAAAAAATCATCAATTTATGTTGCAAGAAAGATCATCAACACATGCCATGAATACATTTAGGCGGGGAATTGTGGATAGAAATTCTGCTGAAGCAGATAAGGGGAATGACTTTGTAATCCCATTTGAAGGTTCGTTTTCTGATTGTGAAAAGACAATTTCAAATAATCATGAGAGTGGTATGCAGGAAGTTAAATGCTTTCATGAGGAGCCATCTGATAACTGCTTAATCGAGTTAAGTAGAGAATTTGTGAACCATTTTTCTGGTTCTCTAGCTTCTGTAGATCCAAATGTCACCAGGTTAACCAGTTCTGAAGTAGAAAAAGAGAACTTGGCTCTCCCAATTGAGGACTTTCATATTCTTTCTTCTGAAGACAATATTATCAGAAACAAGGGAAGTGACATCTCAGAAATACGAGATTCTGTACTTCATGCCTCAAATGATATCCTGTCCGCTCAAAGTTGGAAGAATACAATTCATGAGCATTTAATTGAAACATGTTCAGCAAAGGAAAGAGAAAAGTGTTCCGACAATATTAACAAGTGCAATCAAACAGTTAAGCCGAATGGAAGTAGGTTTCTTGAGGACCCCCACAATTGTGATTTAATTATTGCCCCTAAGAATGTAGACCATTGTAATGCCATCTCAGCTGAGAAACTAATACAGTCAGATATGCGTACTGATGTTTGTGGAAGTGAAGAAGTAAGATCAAGTGCCTCTGATGTGGACTCTACAGGAGAAACTGACACTAAAACAGATGCATTTGATGCCGGTTCATCTATGGAAGATAAACCATCGTCTTGTGTAGGAAACCATTCTTTGCCTGAAGAATCTGAACTTCTCCCAAACAGTGTGTTACTTTTTGATGCAGAGCTTAATGCACATTCTGCATCTTGGAATATTGATTCATCTCCATTGACAAGCAAAAGTTATATTTCAAGAAGAAACCATGGAGTACATTTGCAAGATCAGATGGGAAATGAATCTGAAATGAGAAACTCCATAACTATCAATAGTCATGCTAGTGCCAAATGTCTCACTAACAATAGGGATGATGTTGTGTCAAAGTAAGTAACATTATCTATCTGGCTCCTTTTATTTTTATAAATGCTGCTTCTCCTTTATCTCTAGGTTTGTAACAAGTAATAATTATGGAGGATTCTTTTTTCCTTTTGTTTCTGGCAGCAAGAGAATCGAGGATGGTAAGAAAAAGAGTAACCTTAGCTTAATACCCCCACGAAATGCAGTTCCATTTTCCGACGAGTGGCTGGCTGCTATTGAAGCAGCTGGAGAGGTAAATACTTTAAATTGTCCAGAAACAATGTGTTTTGCAGTTGGTCAATGCACAGTTATTTGTTTTACAAAACTTCAAGACGGTGGAAGTGTGTACATGCTTGATGACTGTCAAGACGTGTCAAGTTTAAATCATATCCTTACTTTCAAGTTTAATGCATTTAGCTGGATACACGTGCAAAACAGAAAATTAAGTTAATAGTTCTGTTTTTCATTAGTGATTTTATAACTTTCTCTTTGATTTGAGTTCTGTCTAGTTTAGTCATCAGGGTTATTTTGGACTAAAAATAGAAGATATCAAAGTCGAAGATTTTAAGTAAAATGTCACTATAACTTAGGTACCGTAATGTATTTCTCTATTAGGTGCTCATTTGGAACCTAAAGTGATCTGGTTGAGAAAGGTTACATAATCAATTCAGTCGTAGTAGCTGCTCTTTATTATTCTGAAGTTTTTACAAAGCATGTTTTGTTGACACCAATAGTTCTATTCCTACAGGATGTTTTAACCATGAAAGGTGGTGCTGTGCAAAATTCACCCCCAGATAAACCTCTACCTGAGCCAAGTCCATGGTCGCCGGTATGTCACCATTTAGTGGCTGAGAAATGAGAAGCATATTAAAGTTCACTAACGTTTTTTAATTTTCAGGTGAAGAAAAACAATGAAGTTGGACCTTATGATTGTACAAAGTTTGCACGTATTAAGGCTATTGGACCTTCTGATTCGCAAGTCAACTAAACTAGGTTAGAAGCTGGCATTTTGTTTCATTACACCTTAACAAGATCACTCAAATAAAGGGACCTGTAAAGCCCCCTTCCATATATAAACATATATTCTACCACATCGTAGGGAGTCCCCAAGGGACCGGGGTTGACAATTTGACATTTTAGGGGTACAATGCAAAACCATGATAAGTGTAATTTTACTGAACTACTTCCGTGAAGTGAAATGAATGCAATAGGAAAGCCCTTCAATCAAGGGTTTATGTTAATGGTCCGTTTGAATGGGCCATATATTTTTCCTTTGTCCAAAATTCTTGCCTAGATGAGTGAAGGTAATTTGATTGATTTCAAATTCATTCAGAGTTTTCTGAATCAGTAAGGTATGTTTTGGATTTGAAATTGCGTCCAAAACATATGTTGTCATAACTGGACTGGAAGGCGATCTGCACAAGGGATCGGGTCAAGTGTCCATCAGAACCCCAAGAATCGTCTCGGTCAACAGATGTAAACTTGGTCAATATTTACTACAAAATAAAATATAAAATATTTTTATAACTATAAATCTGTTATGTAATTGTGTGGATGTCCATTAATTCTCCATGTATTCACATACATGGCTATATGTGAATGAATGATATGCTTTTTAGTCTTCAAGTTACAACACGTTAGGGATGGATTCGGGCCGGGCCTAGGCCCGGTCGGGCCGCCGGTTCTAGAATAGTGGGCCCGGGACCGGCCCGAGGGTTGGACGGGTCCGGTTCGGGCCGGGCCACCTGCCCGGGTCACGGGTCGGGCCACCCGCCGGGCCGGGCCGGGCCGGGCCGGGCAATTTTTTTTTAATTTATATTTTATACTTTATAGTTTTATACAAGTATTTAAAAACAAACTTCAAGTGCATTTATTTGAAAAGAAATAGGAACTACATTTGAAAATTAAATAAGAACTATAATTGTTTTTAATCGGAATCTCCGGCATAAGTAGAGCCACCCTCTGTAGATTAATCCATAAAGTGTTGGGATGGAGTGATGTCAATTTCTTGAGCTCTACGTGCTGCTTTCAACCAATCGTGGTAGCATATAAGCATCTCAAGAGATTCAGCGCTCAACCTCGTTCTGGTTTGTGTTAGAACATTGCCGGCCGAACTAAATTCTTGTTCCACGGCAACCGTTGAAACCGGCATTGATAGCACTTGCTTAGCCATCTTTGCTAAAACCGGGAACATTCTTTCTTTTCCCTTCCACCAGTTTAGTACGTCAAAATCATCATCTTCTTCAAAATCAACATCATAAGTTAAATACAAAGAAATCTCATTAATTGTGCTTTGTTGTGTAGCGGGAATTGATTTTGTTTTTTTAATAAGATTGGCAAACGTAGATTTGAAAATTGATTTTCCTTTAGATGATGTTTGTGTCGGGGGAGGGGGCGCATTGCCATATTGTGCATGAAACTCATTGAATAATGCATAAAATATATCACTAACCTCGTTGTATTCTTTTTTCGGATCAATTGGGTTGTCCTCATACATTGGCAATGGACCAAAAAAAGCAGCATAATAATAATTCAAACATTCTTCTAAAGAACCAAGTTTAAAACGAGGATCGAGAACAAATGCAATACCATAAATATGCGGAATATGTGAATAATATTTTAAAAACTTTTCCTTCATAAAACCAGCAAAATAATTCACATAATCAGCATTCTCAAAATTTGAAAAAGCACCGGCGAGATTAACAGCTTCACGAATAAATTGGTTTGAGGTAGGTTTATAAACATGACTAAAAGTTTCAGTTGCATTATTAAAATATATCAAAGCATTAAAATGTGTCGATCTCAGCCGAGTTTATAATATAGTTATCATATTGTTTCATAAAAGCAGGAAAATGTTGTTTATATCTAAGAAACACTCCAATTAACTTATAGGTACTATTCCAACGAATAGACAAATCTTTTGGAAAAGCCACATATCTCTCACCTCTTTCTATCAAATAATCATGCCATTTTTTTCTAAGGTGTCCATTACCCCAAATACGTCTAATCCCCCCTTGACTACCTCCAACGATGCTCCCAACGCTTTTAGACCATCTTGCACACATAAATTTAGAACATGACATGCACATCGTTGATGAAAAAATCTACCCATCAAAGAAGTAGAACCACACAATTCACGCAATCTAGGAATAGCAGCAGTATTATTAGTAGCATTATCAAAACCAATAGCAAACACCTTATCAATTAAATTATACTCAATTAAAATACGTTCAATCAAAATATAAATATGTTCAGCGGTGTGACGATCATTAAATTCACGGAAAGCAAGAACACGTTTATGCATATGCCAATCATTATCAATATAATGTACAGTCAGACCCAAATAATGTAAATTATGATAAGTATCCTTCCATATGTCAGAACATACAGTAACACGTCCATCAAAGTTTGCAAAATAATTTTGTAACCTTACCTTTTCCGCAACATAAAGCCTTGAAATTTCTTTCTTAACCGTTTTGCGACTATAACCTCTATATGGCGGATTTAAACAAGTTTGTGCATAATCACGAAAAGCAAGACTTTCAGAAAACAAATAAGGCAAATTTTCTTCAACAAGTAAGTTAGCCATACATGTCAAATTTTGTGCATCATTGTATGAGAAATTACCAAAAGCTTGTTGATTATTTGCAAACCTCGATATTTGCGTTTGCTTCCTCGTTCCGCCGCCTAATTTTGCATACTCCACCAGGTGTTTGGGCTTAAGGTGTCTTGTGGCGGATCCGTATCCGCCGGAAATCTCCAAGCTATAGTTTTTCTTGCACCAATTGCAAGTTGCGGTCCAATTCCCGGTGTTCGGGTCCTTCCACTTAGTAAAATTATTAGCCATTAATTCAGATTTACTTTTTTTTGTACCTGTTTGGGATGAGGCTGCTTGGTCGGCGTCATGGCTGCCGCCACCCTCCTCCTCCTCGTTGTCGTGGCTCTCTGGAATTGCTTCCTCCACATCGTCGTCCTCGTCCTCGAGCTCTTCTTCGTCAATGGTCCTCGGTTGGTCTTGAAAAAAGTGGGAATTATGTCGGTGCAATTCTTGTTCTAGTTGTTCGTCGGTCATCGCATCCCCATCCCTCCTTACGTAACCCGTATCAAAATCATCTTGACTTTGAGATGAAGAGTCGATATGTGATTTACCTTTGCGGGATCTCTTCCTCGCAAGCTCGTTCGTTCGGTTGTGCTCGAGGTTACCCATATCAACCGAATATCTAGGACGATCCATCTAAAAAATGTAGCGATTAATAAAAAATTGTAAAAAACTAATTAACTATTTATCTAACTATTAATTCGAGTTATAGCAAATTAAGTAGTGAATTAACTAGTTTTGTGTACAACATATTTTTTAAACTAGAGTCAAATGTAGCAATTAATAAAAAATTGTAAAAAACTAATTAACTATTTATCTAACTATTAATTCGAGTTATAGCAAATTAAGTAGTGAATTAACTAGTTTTGTGTACAACATATTTTTTAAACTAGAGTCAAATGTAGCAATTAATAAAAAATTGTAAAAAACTAATTAACTATTTATCTAACTATTAATTCGAGTTATAGCAAATTAAGTAGTGAATTAACTAGTTTTGTGTACAATATATTTTTTAAACTAGAGTCAAATGTAGCAATTAATAAAAAATTGTAAAAAACTAATTAACTATTTATCTAACTATTAATTCGAGTTATAGCAAATTAAGTAGTGAATTAACTAGTTTTGTGTACAACATGTTTTTTAAACTAGAGTCAAATGTAGCCATTAATAAAAAATTGTAAAAAACTAATTAACTATTTATCTAACTATTAATTGTAGTTATAGCAAATTAAGTAGTGAATTAACTAGTTTTGTGTACAACATATTTTTTAAAATTTAAACTAGAGTCAAATGTAGCCATTAATAAAAAATTGTAAAAAAACTAATTAACTATTTATCTAACTATTAATTCGAGTTATAGCAAATTAAGTAGTGAATTAACTAGTTTTGTGTACAACATATTTTTTAAACTAGAGTAAAATGTAGCCATTAATAAAAAATTGTAATTCCAACTATATTAATAAAAAATTGTAATTCCAACTATACTAATTAACTAGTAATTTAACAAGTGTAAATAATAGAATAATTTCGTATCTCTTTCGGACTTTCGGTCTTTCGGATGGGAGTAATAGAATGACTTCAAATTAATTAGATATAATTCCAACTATATTAATAGATATAATAAATATATAAGTAATATATAATTAGATAACAAATAAAAGTAATATAATACTATTTATATCTATTTATAGTTTATATAAGTAGATAATTAATATAAACTATAAATAATAAATATAATATATTGGAGAATGGAGAATAAGAGAATTAGAGAGTAGAGAGTTAAGAATAGGATTTAGGAAGAATTGGAGAAGAGATATGAAAAAATGTTTAAGATTAGGAGTATTTATATGTTTTTTTACCCCCCCCCCACCACCCCCCCCACCCAACCCCCCCGGACCCCCCCTTTACCCCACCCAACGGCTATTTAGCCGTTTGGGTTGTCCCCAGCCCCACCCCCAACGGCTAGTTTGAGCCCAAACCAATTTTTATTTTTATTTTTTTAAAATTGAACCGGACCCGGGCCCGGGCCCAACCCGGCCGGGCCGGGTCACAAAAATGCTGAACCGAGCCCGCCCCGCCCCTTCCCACCGGTTCAGGCCCATACCCGGTCCCGGACCGCCCGACCGGGCCGGTCCCGGGCCCGCACAGTACCCATGTTATCAACATGTTATCAACACGCTCTAAACCCAAAATTTCTATCCTTTTGCACGAGTTTATTCTGTCTGCCGCTGGTTCAGATCAATGGCTGCAGTTCGCACCTCATACTCTTTCTTCTGCCACCTCCTGTGCGTCCTGCTGCAAAATCTTCGATTTCAAGTCTTTCCATTCGGCAGCCAATTCGTCCCTGCATCATATATGTCCGCCTTTTCAGGTAATAATCTATCTTTTCCGCCCGATTCTGATAAACCCCTGTTCATCTAAGAATTCCTCAGAGTTCGTAAGTTATTTAAGAAGATCGAATCGGTTGTAATATTCTACTCCCATTGATTTTCCCTGCTACTTTAATATACAAATCTATTACCGATTTTCTATCGTTTTAAAAATCTGCATCTTTACAAATTTGGATTTGCTTTTGATTCATGTTCTGCATTGGAAATTTATTTGCTGGAGAATTAGATTGGAACCATAAGATCGATTACATAATACCCGATTCAAATGTTTAAACCTACTTTACTATGTTAACCACTTAACCTCTGCCTAATAAAATCCACTAGTCAAGTTTAACCAAATATTTGAATAGGCAAATTGTCGAAACAGATTGTGCATGAAATGAGTAAGATTGATCATTTAATTGCAAACCTACAATAGATTACATGCTTCGTTTCTATTCGACATTCTCTTTATTTATTTATTTATTTATTTATTTATTTATTTATTTATTTATTTATTTATTTATTTATTTATTTATTTATTTATTTATTTATTTATTTATTTATTTTCCTAAAATAGTAGTCAGGGTATCTATTTGTTACAACCAATCATATCTGCTCCATGCTGTACAAATCGCAAAGGTAGTGCTTGCATTTAGAAGTTTGCACATTCTATGTAATTTAAAGGGTATAGCCTAAAAGTTTATTTTAATAAATAAAACCTGAGATTCTCTTCCCTTATACTCCGTACTAAAATCATGAACTATTAGGGCACCTCCATTAATTTGTTTAATTTGAAGATTAATTAGATGACATATAAGATTATTTTAAAGACTACCATTGTGAAATAACGCATGGCCGGCTGTCTAATGAGGCCCTCTAAAACAAGAAAAAATATAAAATTTAACAATAAAATACAAATAGACCAGATAATTCAATAAAATATACAACATATGTTCTATGATATTTAAAGTACACAAATTAGACAATCTAAAAATTATACTTCGTATATCTTTTAGATCTTGAATAATATATAACATCTAGAAAAATAAACTTATAACTAATACTACATACTAAACTTATGGAGGTCCCCTACAAGAGTGGGCCCGGTACAATTATTGCACCTCTTAAAAGACGGCTATGAAAGAACAATTGGTGAAGAGTTTTGAACTTTAAAATTACTTAAAGTTTATTGAGTAAACATGATGTGAAAAAAAATTAAAGATCTTGAATGGAGATACTCTTATACTAAAAGTTTGGATTGCAGAAGAAGTTTCCATAAGTGTACCAAGAAAAATTTTTGATCTGACACCCAGGCTTACCGAGATTCAAATAAAGGATTAATGACATTTATTATTAGTTAATTGAAACATGTAATTGCATCGTATTTATTAGCCAATAATGGTTAGAGAAAGACATTTACTTGCTCAATCAATGACATAAAGTGAATTTAATTAGCATATATATATATATATATATATATATATATATATATATATATATATATATATATATATATATATATATATATTCATCATTATTATCATTTATGACACTTTTAACCTGATACTCCCTCCGTCCCAAAAACAACTTCCCTCTTTCCTTAAATGGATGTCCCAAAATTAACTTCACACTTCTTCACACTTCCTTATTTGGTAAATTATCTACATCAAAACAGTGTTAAACAGTGCTAAACAATGTCCAAACAATGTTAAAACAGTAAAATTTACCCCTCAATAAGTTTATTTCCTTAATATGTGTGGAAAACGAAGTGTGAAGTTGTTTTTGGGATGGAGGGAGTATATTTAAGCTTATTAAATTAATAAAAAAATGGTTGAGAAATGTAACTACTACGTTATTAAGGAAGTACAAGTCATACAAATTGTATTTTATGTTTCATTTTTTTAGGATGACATTCTTGGATTTCCTATGACATAACATTACTGGTAGCGTTATCAACATGAATATTTATTAAATGCATGTGAATTGCTGATGAATGTGATGTGTACATAATATAAAGTTACATGAAATATTTTCTATTATGTAAACTTCTTGAGCTAACTATATGGCTTTAGGTCTATCTATATATATACAAAATATACTCCTGAAGTGTGATTCATATACAGAGTTCTATTACACCTGAAGTGTGATTCAATATACCAATAAATATTAAAATAATATGTAAAATATAACACTAGATCAGATTTCTTAATTAAGAATATTTAAAAAAAATATATTTGAGAACTATATGTATATAATCATGTGCTAGACGAATATTTTATTGCATATACGATGTGATTATTAAATATGGATTCGGACCAAAAGCTTATCATTAATGTTTTATACATAGCTATTTATCTATCAATGTCTTTTACTGTTTTTTTTTTTAAATCTTAAGCTAGTGTTATGTTTGTAAAACTAGTTTAGCATGTGTAGTAAAGCTTATATGCACCCGAAGTGTTAGGAGTGGACTCGGGCCGGGCCAACCAGCCCGGAACCGGATGGCCCGCTACTGTGCGGGCCCGGACCGGCACGGTGAACCGGTTGGTGCTCGGTTCGGGCCACCCGGCCCGGTGAGGTAGGCGGTTCAGGCCCGTGCCTGCTAAATAGTGAACAGGCCCGGCCAGTTCGGGCCCGGTCCGGGCCAATTTATTTATTTTTTCTTTGTTTTTTGATTTTTTTAAGTTTTTGGGTTGGGCTGGGTATGATGGGCCATTTGAGGTGGTTTGGGGGTGAGGGGGGAGGGTTGGGGGTTAATTAGGAAAAGCCAAAAAAAAATTACATGAACCGAGGCCCGGCCCGGTCCGGCCCGGACCGGACCCGGGGTTACCCGGGCCGGTTCCGGGTCTCCCCTTTCATGTACCGAGGCCCGGTCGGGCCCAGGCCCGAACCGGGCCCGAACCGGAACCGGTCCACCCCTACCAAGTGTACTTGAATACCCCAATAAAATATTAATAAATTATAGTACTGACTAGATCAAGTGGATGTACTTGAAAAGGGGAGAAAACAACAAATTTTCGTATGAAATTACAACAATGTTTTCAATTGTTGAAGTCACTGTAAGAGTATAGAAGCATATGCATTGAGGGTTGTACTTGATTTCAATTATTGAAATACATATTATTTATATTTATTTTTGGACACTAAGAAGTATAATAATGATAATATGTTATTAGATGTCAAGATAAATATTGGAAATTCACTCAAATGATACTTCGTGACAACCTTTTAAATTAGTACTCTTACACAAATATTACTATTTGATAACTTTTATGTTACTTCAAGAGTAGCATTAACTAATTGTTAGACTCTCTATATGCATTCCTAGATGTCTGACTCGTATTATTTCTATGAAAGAAAGAGATCATTAGATTGATGATTATTTTAGAGATATATTATCGCTGTCTTAACTTAAGAGTGAGTAATATAATGCCTGAAGCATGCATGTATTTATGGCATAATGCATGATATATATTAATCCTATTTTAAGGATATAATGCTTGAAGCATGCAAGAATCGAACATAATAGAAATTTAATCCCACTACAAAAAAATTCGCCTGTAGTCACGGACTTAGTCACGGACCGTAGTGTAAAAAATCCGTGACTAACATAGTTAGTCACGGATTTTGCCTGTGACTAGGTCCGAGACTAATTCCGCGTGACTAAAATGTAGTCACTGAACTTTGGCCGTGACTAACTGTAGTCACGGATTAGTCACGGACCTGGTCCGTGACTAATTCATGACCGGAATTGCTACTCCGGCAAGTTAGTCACGAATCAGGTCCGTGACTACGTTTGATTTTTTTTTATTAGTCACGGACATGTTCGTGATTACGTGTATTTTTGTTTTTAAAATTCGACTATATTAGTCACAGACCGGTCCGTGACTAAGTTTTGAAATGTTCAAATTTTCAAAAGCCCGCGGGTTTAAATTTTCAAAATTTGTATTTGTCACGGATATGTATCCGTGACTATTATTTTTTTTTTTAAAAATAAATTTTGAATTTAGAAAAGAGTTCCAGACAAAAAAATAGTCACGGATTAAGTCCGTGACTAAAGTTTTTGTTTTTTTTTAAAAAAGTTTTTCCATTTTAAAAAAATAATTAAAAAATTATTTTAATTTTTCTTTAAAGCAATTAGAACATTAAATGAAAAACAAAATCAATACAATGTTAAACATAAAAAATGTTATTACAGATTGGAATTATAAAACTAATATGAAATGCTAAACTTAAAAAATGTATTATTACATGCTCGGCCGTCGGACCCCATTATGATAAAAATTAGGATCATCATTATCATATGCATCATTATCATCATAATAAAGATGATGATCCTCTTCAGCATCCACGGGGTCTAAGGGTCAGGTACCTCCTCGTCTGCCTTGGCTGCCTCCTCGGCTGCCTCCATCGGATGACTGAAATTGATTGAAGAAATCAGACGACAGAGATCCGAATGTCGACCCCATTGCAAGCATGCTACCATATCCGAAGTTAGAATGATAACCCATATGACCCATGTGCGGAACTTGAGGAGTCTGCTCAACGTGCAACATGTACGACCGAATACAGAGGTTGAGGCGGAGGCTGATATCCGGCAACAATCCGTTCCATCGCTTCCAGCCGGACCCTTATTTCTTCATCCTTCTTCCGTTGCTGTTCTAACGCCCGCTGCTCCTCCTCCAATTCTCGCTGCAATTGGGCGATGCATGGATCCTGTCCCCGCCTTGATCGAGAAGATGATGAAGCTCCGCTTCCGCTGCGGTCGTACAAAATCCGTTGCCCCTTAGCCCCCAGGCACGGAAGCCGACCCTTGTACACCCCAGCTGTCTCAAGGATCGCATCATCTTCCACATCAGAATCGATCTCATCCTCCTGGGTCAAGCCTAATTCCACCCGCTTCTTCTCAACATTTGCGTTATATTCGTCTACAGGCATGTACAAAAATTATTGAAATGATATTTACTTCGATTTGAAATAATAAAATTGATGTTACGTACTTCGATTTCAGCAAGGCGGGGTGGCAGATCGGCTTCTGACTCATCACCGTTCTTCGTCCAACAGTGTTTGATGACCTTGAGGATAGAGACCCTCTTCTTCTGAGGCCCCGCCTACATGGTTCGAAAAAGGCTTAAAATCCATAAATAAATGTAAAAAATGAAGGGTTAAATTGGTGTAAGGTTTATTTGAATAAGACTTACAAGAGCTTCCTTATGTTTACTCTGAGGTTTGCGGTCTCCGTGCCATTGTGTCGTTAATGCCTTCTCGGACATCCGATTTTTCTTCTCGGCTTCGCTTTTAGCCAAGAAGGTCGGATCCGAAGACCAGTGGCGGATGAGGTTTTCCCACACCTCATCCGAACACCATTGAGGCCTTACCCCACTGGCTCGGGCACGCTTAAAAGTGGGACAAAGCCAGTTTGAAATTCTAGCGTTATACGCTCTTAGAATAGCGGTGCCTTGTTCTTCAGTCCAACGAAACCGACCCTTTATTAAAAAAATAAATTAATTTATCATTTGTCAAATTTTATGTTACTACAATGATGCAGGGAACATTCATTTTTTTTTACCTTGAACAGGTTTCACCAAAGTTCACGGACCTTGGGGTCAACATCCGTGTACATAGCCCAGTTGCCAAGAAAGTGTCCACCAATTATGATTTTGATTTGGTCCAACACTTGTTGATCGCTTCAAAAAATTAATGAAATTTTTTTTATATCCATTTTGGTTAAGATTATTTGACATTAGATAAAATTATTTGACATTAGGTAAAGTTCATAGTTACTTACTTAGCAATCATGTGAGGTGACCCAATCCGAATTTTCATTGTTGCGCTCTGCTTCGGTTAAGGGCGCAAAGCTCGGGCGGACACGCGAGGTTGGTTGTTCATTGCTCATCTAAAATAATTAATTAATAGGGACGAAGGGAGTATTAATTTACATTTTCAAATAATGGTGTAAATATAATAGAAGATCAAATTTTGGTTGAAATTTTAAATAAGTTTTCGTATTTAAATTTTATAAAAAACAGTTTTATATAAAAACAATTTTATATAAAAACAGTTTTATATAAAAGCAGTTTTTTATGAAAACAGTTTTCTAAAAAGAGTTTTCTAAAAACAGTTTTATATAAAAACAATTTTTTATAAAAACAGTTTTTTATTTTTTTTGCACATAACATAAAAACAGTTTTATATAAAAACAGTTTTATATAAAAACAGTTTTTTTGTATAAAGACAGTTTTATATAAAAAGAGTTTTTTTGTATAAAACCAATTTTTTTATTTATTCATATGCCACTTTACTAAACTTTATACAAAATCATATTTTATACATTCTATAAAAACTGTTTTTTTATTAAATCAGTTAATAAAAAAACTGTTTTTCTAAAACAGTTAATAAAAAAACTGTTTTTCTAAAACAGTTAATTAAATGTTAAAACAGTTTTTTTATTAAACAGTGTTTAACAGGCTGTTTTTTTATTAAAACAGTTTTTTTTTTATAATTTAATATTTTATATTCAATTTCAGAAATTAATTTTTAATGTCTAACGTAATATTTTATAATTAACATGTTAAACTTTTTTGTAAGTTTGACATGAGGGGGTATTTTTTTAATTAATTCGGAAAAACTTTTTAATTAAAACAGTTAAAACATTTTTTTATTAAAACAGTGTTTTTTTAATAATCTAATATTCTATATTAAATTTGAGAAAACAATTTTTAATGTCTAACTTAATATTTTATAATTAACATGTTAAACTTTTTTGGAAGTTTGACATAAGGGGGTATTTTTTAATTAATTCGGGAAAACTTTTTAATTAAAACGGTTACAACAGTTTTTTTATTAAACAATGTTTTTTTATAATCTATATTTTATATTAAATTTGAGAAAATAGTTTTTAATGTTTAACTTGATATTTTATAATTAACATGTTAAATTTTTATGGAAGTTTGACATGAGGGGGTATTTTTTTAATTAATTCGGGAAAACTTTTTAATTAAAACAGTTAAAACAGTTTTTTTATTAAACAATGTTTTTTTATAGTCTATATTTTATATTAAATTTGAGAAAACAATTTTTAATGTCTAACTTAATATTTTATGATTAACATATTAAACTTTTTTGAAAGTTTAACATGAGGGGGTATTTCTTTAATCAATTCAGGAATATAATGTAAACTATATCTATTCAAAAATAATATTGATGCATATAATGTAACACAGAAGTCCGAAAAAATAAAAAATAAAAAAGGTTTGAATAATCATGCATGTTGTTAACCTACAATTAAATCTTATTTAGGCATACATATTAATTAAACTTATACACAACAAATATAGTCATGCCAATTAAACATATATATAAACTAAATCATTTTATATTGAGCATATAAAACATGTAATAAACTAAATTATATTAACATGTATTTCGAAAAACATGTGTTTAATAACATGTATACAAAATTGAATTTAATAACATGTATACAAAACATGTATTTCGAAAACTGAATTATATTAACATGTATTTTAAATTTTAAAGCAATATTATAAACTAAATTAAATTATATTTCGAAATCATATTACTACACAAAACATGTATACAAAACCAAAGAATCATGCATAAATCAATTTGAGCATATTAACTAAATCATATTACACAATTTGAGAATAATGTGAACACACTTATAATAACATGCATTTTTGGAATAAAAATCAAATACTAAAAATAAGAATTAAAAGTAATTAAAATTTAGAGCACATAACCTTGATGAAGAGGACGACGAAGAGCGACGGAGGTAGCTAACGGAGAGCAGCGGCCGACGGTGGTAGTAGACGGTGGCAGCGGATGGCGACAGCGGACGGTGGAAGACGGCGTTGGAGGTCGAGGTCGGTGGAGTGTAGAAGAAGTAAAGGGAGAAGGAGAGTTTTAGGGTTTGGGAGAGCATTCGGAATGAAAAAAATTGCTAAGTGTTTAATTTATATAAGGTCGTAGTCACGGACGTAGTCACGAATATATCCTTGACTAGCCGTCGTAATTAACGGAGTCAGACATGCGGAAGACAAGGTGTCAGGGCCGCCTTTGACCGCCCTAGTCACGGAAAAATCCGTGACTAGGGCCGTGACTAATTAAAAAATTTGAATTAGTCACGGCCCTAGTCACGGATCCGTCCGTGACTAATTATTTTCCAGCCGTTCTGTCAACTCCTCGGGCAGGCCGACGACAGTGGAATAAATTCAGGGGAATATATTCGATTTTTCAGTATAAATAAGTGATGCCCGGTCCAATTTTTGTGAGGAAAATAAAATGGCTAATTGAGAACCAATTGACTGGGATTTGATGTGTAGAGCTATGAAACGACTCAAGCTAATTACACAGCTTATGGAGCCGAAAACCGTTGAAGCATACCAGAGAATCAGGGAGTTGATGGCTAGACCCCTTGAAAGTTTTGGCGACTATAAAGATGAGGAATCCGACTCACTCGGCAAGTCAAAAGCAAATAACTTGTGTCGGATGCTTCAACGTGCAAAAGAATGTTCGGAGTATATGGACCCGATCAACGAAGAAGCTGAAAGGAAAATTAACGAGTTGTTGGCTAGGCCTCTTGAAAGTTTTGATATTGATGAATAATTTTGTATTTGTTTGTTTGCTTATTATGATAAATGAATAATGTTTCGTTAGTTGATTGTGATAAAAAATTTGTGCGTTTCGTACTTATCTTTTAATAATGATGAAACAATCAAATATTGTTGGACTAATATAATGATGAAGAATAGAGCACAAATATTCGAATTCAAAAAAATTGTAATTACAACAACACAATTAGTCACTATCAGAATCGTTATTTTCTACATATACAACATCTTCTTCTGTATCAGAACCGTCTATCCATTCTCCTTCTTCCTGATATTTGAGCATTTTGTTGTTCTTCATGCATTTCAACAATTTCACGCTCAGATGGAGTTGTTAGGTCCGGAAGGTGCGTTTCTGGCATGACTTCAACACTTCCCCCATTTGGATCACTTAACTGAATGTGATGGTTGACCGTCTCAACAATCGGCGGAGGTTGGAAAAAATGTTGCTGAAAAGCATCTAAATCAACGTCCTTGTGTTGAGTTTGTGATACAATTTTGCTCGAACGGACAACACATGCACACACCCAAGGATTCTGTGTCCGCATGGTTGAAGAGTATTCTGCATAATAAATCTGGGGTGCTTGTTGAGCGAGTATAAAAGGCTCATTTTTCCTATACACGCGAGAGTGGTTGACGTCAATCATATTATACTTTGAATTTTTTCTCACACCACGTGTTGGATCGACCCATTTGCAGCGGAACAAAACGCATGTCAACTTTTTCCCAGCAGAAGGCATTTCCAATTCGAGAATCTCATGCAAGACACCAAAAAAATTGGTTTCCGAGTTATCATAACCGATGGTTGGGACACATAACCCGCTGTTCACTGTTGGTCGGCCCTGTCCGTAATCGACTGTGTGATAGGTGTAACTGTTTATCACTTATGACCGCCAAACTTTGGCAAAGGCACCAGGGCTCCACGATAATGATACTAACAAAGGATCCACAATCCCACAGTTATTGATCTGTAAATTAAAACACGATAACATTGGGTAATTATTAAAAATTACTCCCTCCGTCCCATAAAATAAGTCCCATTTTCCTTTTTGGGCCGTCCCAAAAAATTGTTCCCATTTCCCTTTTTGGAAAGTTTTGTGTGGCTAACATTCATTCACCTTTTTCTTACTCAACCACAACCATACATTTCCACTTTATTCCCACTTTCTTAAACTCCGATCCAAATTGAAATGAGACTTATTTTATGGGACGGAGGGAGTATTACTTAATAATATATATAATTAATGTGTGTGTACGTATATATACCTGATACTTGTACCATGATATAAAATGAGAGTCCACCAATGCATCAATTTCATTGTCAGGGAATGCTGAGTACTCCGCTCTAAATTCACTGTGAAGTCAAACATGAAAATATTATAAATCAACTACCTTAATTCTATATATATTACAAATATAACTACAAATTTAACTTACTAATAAAACGGTAAGATTTCTTGACAATTAATGAGCATATAAGTATGCACAATTTGTAATTCTTTTCCCACGATGTATCGGTTTGTCGCAGCTCCTTTACCTCTACCTGGGTAATTGAAAATGGAAACTACATTTTCGTATAAATCCTCGCCAATGTCATCGTTCCGGGTAGGTCTCTTTCTTCTAGTGATGACTTCACGCTCAAAATAAAAAGATGAGAACATTGAGATTTCTTGTTGAAGATACACTTGACAAATTGAAGCCTCAACATGTGCCTTGTTGGTCACTTTCTTTTTCAACTCTCCAAAAAATCTGCAATGTAAAATAAAAGTGGTACACAGATTAATGTTGTTATGAAATAAATATTCAAAGATAAATGAAATTGTGACTAACCTTTCAAATCTGTACATCCAGCGATAGAAGACGGGTCCACCATTCAAAGCTGTTAGTCCCTGTTTTCTACTACAGCAAAGATTAAAAGTATAACAAGTAGAAGATTAACAATAAAGATGAACAAGATGATCGATGATAACCTTCCTTGATATACCGTGAACTCGTACATAGAAGAATATTGCGCTAAGGCTATTTGGAACGAGTACGAAAGTTAACGCAGACCTGAGTCCTCGGCTTCCTTTTATAGGAGAGGCTCAGGTATGCGTATAAGGCTTTTAGCCTTTGTATGGGCCTAACACTTGGCCCATATTAAATACTATTCTAAGAGATACAGTATATCAGTACAAAACGGAAATAGTAAACTAGACTATTACAGACAAAACTGACATAATTGATTCACAATAAAATTATCTTCAACAATCTCCCCCTTTGTGATCAAGTGCTGTCTTCTCTTCCTTCTGAGCTTGGTAGTAATCTTTTCTTATGTTCAGAGCATGCTCGTATTGCCTAAGAATGTTCCTTTTGTCAAGACGATCGTCAATTGCCTTTAGATTGGTTGTTAATGTTGCGTGCTCCTTCTGAGTGTATGACGATGCGTCTGTAAGCTTTTTGTCCAGTTTTTCTTTTAGTTTCAGCAGCTGCTCTCTGATGATCTTCAGAGTCCCATCATAGTACTTTGCAATTTCGTTGACCATCATCAGGCGTTTTTCATTTTTGTGATTCAGATAAGTGACTGCTGGGGGACTGAAGAATATGTGATAAGCTGGGAAGTCATTGATCTCTGGACCTTGCAGTCGTGGCTGTGCAAGATTTGTCTTTGGCAAGTTGTTCTCTATAGCCATCTGCAGGTCGTGGGTAGAATGAACTCAGACTTGTCGGAGCATGAATCGTTTGATGGCTTCAAAACCTTCGCTGTATGTTCTACTCTTCCTGATTGGAAGGTATCTATATGCCATGAACATTTGATATATGTCATCTGGTTTCATCATGATGAAGTCATTCTCCTGGCATGTAAATATGCTTCCGTCTGTGCGCCTCAGCTTATAGGAGTAGTACCTGATTGTGTTATGATCTTCAGCTTTGACTTCCAGGATATCATGAACTGGATGTACACTGGATCTCAGATCTTTTTCATGGACAACCCTTTGAGGTCCGGATGATCGATGCATCAACATATGTAGATGACCTCCTGCTTGTTTCCCTTTTAGATGTGTGAGACTTCGAAACTTTAGCTCATTCAGGGGCTTGATTTTGTCCGATCTACGCCAGATGCGCTCTCTGATTTCCTCTTGGAAAGGTGCTCTTATCCTGACATTCTTCTAGGGTTTTTCGGTCTTGGGAAGTCGTCCCGCCGTTTGTTTTACTACAGATTCAAGCGCCCTCTGGGTTTCTTTGTAGTTCTCCCCTTCCTTGATTTCATCTTCCTCGAGCCTGACTATATCTTCAGCGCAACCGGGTTCACTCGGATTGCCCGTTGACATCAGCTTAGAACTGGGTTCTGACTGATGGTCTGATTTTAAGGATGTACTCGCAGTAGCATCACCAGGACTTCCATCCCCTCCTCGAATAGTATCTCTAAGAGATAAACCTCGGGATGTTGTCATCAGCTTCGACACAGGGTCTGTCTGATGGCCTGAGCTTATTGATGTACCAAGGTTAGCATCGTCAGGACTTCCATCCCCTCCTCGGACAATATCTCTAGGAGATAAGCCTCGGGATGTTTTATCTAGCTCGACCATGCTAGAGAGATGGGCTTGGTTTTGGCTAGAGGTAGGTGGTGGTTGGTTAGTGGAAGTCTCGGGTTGTTCGGTTTGGGGGGTGTGGCTGGTAGAGGCACCTTGCTCGAGTATCCGTGGCCTCTTGTTCTCCCCCTCATGAGGTTCCGGATCGTCGGGATCCTCATGCGAACGTTTGCGACCACGGGGACTTTCACGGCAGGTGCCCTTGGTGTCCGGATCAGAGAGAAGGGCAGTAAGGATGCCTTGCTGGTAGGGAGTGAGATCAGTGTGGGGTATGTTAAGGAGATGATCCAGCAAGGCCGATGCTAGGACCTCGAAGGGTTGGGAAAGTAGTTCAATGGGAGGTGTGGTCGGGTGTGGGGATGATACTTGGTCTGTATCATGGGTTCCCCGAGAAGAGGTAGGGCTATGGGCTTTGGTGGAGGTGGCGGAGATGACTAGAGAGGGTTGAGATTGGGAGTGAGAAGGTGATGGGTGTGGTTCAGGCTGGCTGTGTTCACTATGCACCGCCGGGGTGGTCTTGGATTCTTGTGCCCAAGCGGTAAATGATTGTTGCACCCATGGCTTAATGGTGGAATCCATGAAATGATGCATAAGAACGGTAACGTCTTCGGTAGTGAGGTGTTCAGTTACTGGGGTTGTAACTGTTGTCACAACATCAGTGAAGAGGGCTGATGTGTGGCCTGCATTCAATGATGGAATCATTATGGGCGTAGCAGGGCTTCCGACCGTCATCGTTTGCACTCTGGTCGTTGCTTCCAGGGTGCGTGCACCTGTATGTGCGGTGAATAGTGTAGGTGTCCTAGAAAAATTAGAAAATGTAGGGAGTGTGACACCTAGACTCGATGTGCTCAAGGAAAGGGTGGTGGCCTCGGGCTGTTGGCCACTAATTCGCTCAACTGGTTCGGAGGGAACCAGAGAGGTGGGTGAGTCCCGCGGTTTTGAAACGTTAGCCAATTGGGAGGCTAATGAGTGGCTAGGTGAGGGTGGTGCGTGCGCAGTTGAGCCAGATGCTGCGGCTTCTACTTGGAAACCGAAAAGATCGGCTCCTGTACTTAAGGATTCAGCTCGGCTTATATTGATGAAGGGTTGACAGTCGGCGAAGATATACATGTCGTCCTCGTCAACTAGGTTTCTTTTGACGAGGTGCCGCTTCTTGGGGTTGAGCGAGTGGGGAGCATCATTTTTAGCTTTGATGCGTTGCTCCCTGACGATGCCGGTAGCACTTGCTATAGTATGACCGGCCTCCACGGTCTTGATGACAAGCTCCTTGGGGCGTGTAGCAATGATGGGGGCTGCATCCTCAGCGGTGATTTTCTTTGGAGGAGATTCAATAGGCAGCTTCCCCTTTTTGATGAGAGCAAAGGTGTGCTCAACATCGTCGATGTCATCGTCATCATCATCATCATCGTCATCGTCACTTCTAGCCACGCTATCGGAAGCCTCGTCGTCAGCCTCTTTGTGGGCCGGGCTGAGCGAGTCATCAGCTGGTTCCTCAGC